ACACACAACTACACCTAGTGTTTAGACTCGATTGGCATTGATACACACATTGATTTATTCATACGAGTCAATAATCAAAGAATTTTCATATAAATATATATAATGATGAGCTTAATATTCCTAATTATGAAGTACAAGGAGATCGCAGGATGCAGTTATTTAATGAAATATTTTCTGTACAATAATAAATATAAAAATATATTGATATGGATTATATATTGATGAATTGATAAGTATTAAATAAATTATTCTAATTAAAAAACAAACATGAAACTTTTTAATACCTTTATTATTTAGAGTTATAGTTTGTACTTACAAATATATCGACAATCAATGAATGTGAATTCCATATGTAAAAAATGTTTTTATTGTAAGAATATAATTGCACATTAATTTTTCTATTATGTTTTATATATATATATATAAAATGAAGCTAACATTTCAAGCGCATACATATAAACAAAATATTTTTTATAATTAATAATACTGTGGCATTTAATGTATAATAAGTAACTTAATGTATAATAAGTAAGTTAATGTATAATAAGTAACTTATAATAAAATATCTTCCATAAAAGTAAATCTATATTTACTTACAAAATTATTTTAAAAATCTAAAAAAATTAAGATCTTTACTTTAAATAATAAAAATTAAATAGTTTTGGAAGACAATAGAATAAGTACATAAAAACAAAATATTCTTTATAATACTTTGGCATTGTTTACTTCAAATGATTGATAGTTTTAGAGGAAAAGAAAATTTCAATAACTAATTTTTATTCAGAACCTGAATCTTCAGTTGCAAGTAATTTTTTGAGAAGTTTACATTTTTCTTTCTCTATTGCTATTCTTTCTGCATGTCTATTTTCCTTTCCTCTTAATCTAGCTATGAAATATTCCTTTTGTTGTTCAATTTCTTTTTCTTTTAAAGTAAGATGTTTTTTCTTTAATTTTATCATTTCTTTCTTTTGCTCTAAACTATCTGCATATTTTCCATCGTTTCTTTTGTCTTGTGCATCTTTTGTTTTCATATATGTTAACTATTGATTTTCTAAAGCAACTTTAGTTCTTGCTAAATTAGATCCGCTTCCATGTAATGGACGTTTTCTTTTATTTGTTGTACTTAATATAGAAGTACATTCAGAGATAATTTCTGAATTTTCATTGGAATGATTTTCTGATAAAATATTAGGATTATCGGCAGAAATTGATGTTGAAGTAGAAGAGTCTAAATTAGATTTTGAAGTGAAAAGTTTTACCGATGAAGTAGAAGGCTTTTTTGATGAAATTGTTGATGAAGTAGAAGACTTTTTCGATGAAATTGTTGATACAGCAGAAGGCTGTGACATCAAATGAATAAATTTAGACGACACAGTGTGTTCTGCAACAGCATTTCTTTGTCGCCCTAAAATTTCATCTAGTTCGTTAAACCATTCAAAAGTCATTAAGCTTCTTCCCGATGTACGATTATTATCGATACACTCTTCGTATTTTTTTGTTAAAGCGTTTATTTTCCAACGCACTTGGTCCACAGACATCTGGAAGACAAAATTAAAATTATTATGATAAGTAGAATATTAGACCGATATGTGAATGAATCAAGAAATAAGAAGTGCCATTTTTTGATCAAAGCAAATCTTAGTGCTTAAAAGTAAGATCTTAAGTGCTTAAAAGTATTTTCATATCAATTATTATATCCTCCTAAGTTCTTATACTCGTTGCCGAGCGTGGTGACCTCTGTCATGTGTTTGTGGTGTGCATGTTGATTGTACACAATTATTACATATATCTTTTCAATTCTATAAACCGTGTGCCGATATGATTGTTGGACTTGAAATGCAATCATAAATTGACATTTGAAATTACGTTAAAATTGTATGTACATAATTTTACTATACTTGTACAAAGTGACATTCGATAGTTTATATCGCTAATTGACTAATTTAACATTAAATTGTTACAGCAGAAAATGTCTATGCACCGGCTGATGTGGATGTATGTTGTCGCACCATGCACTAATGAGACTATCGCGCTTTCATAGTTTTAACGGATATTTTCTTTAAAAATGCTAAGAAGTTTATAGGTTGTCTCTGTGTTAATCCATCGTTAATACCAACACTTCGTGAACATTACAATTCATTTTAGAACAATAAGCAATCTGATATTTAGGCAGCGTCTACAATAGGAGTCGTGGACGATTGTGGAGTCTTAAGTCATAGGAAATTGACTAATCACAGTCAAATATGATGAGAATACTTGACTACGTCCATGACTCCTATTGTAGACGAGCCCTTATAACTGATACTTGCATATCCGATATAGTATTGAATTGCTTCTCGTCTTGATGTTGGATCAAGTTATGGAGACAGCCTGTAATCTTCTTAATATATATAATTTGTTAGTATATATAACTTGTAATATAAAGTTTATTATATTACACGTTTATTATATCACATGTTCATTATGTACCTGAATGCCAAAATCTTTTTGTAAATCAGTGGACATACTTTCCCATATTTTGGTTTTTTTTTTTGGGATTATCCAGCAAATCTATTTTAGTTTCATAAAGACTGAGAAGAGCTAACGTAGCGTTTCTATCCCAAATAGCAGCTATAAAAACATAATGTAGTTTCTAGTAAACTAAATAAAAAAAGAATAAAATTTCCGTTTCTCAACTGAATGGTTTTAAAATGTATGTTAAACAAAAAATTAAGTTTAAACTTTTAAAGGATTAATATGTCTACTTACGTTGTTTATTCTCTATTTGTGTAAATAAATTATTTTCATCATCTAGAAATATATCTTTCCTAATGAAGCATGGGTGCTGCGAAGCATCATCAAGTGATATTATTTCTTGACTACAGTGACTGCACCTCATTTTGGTTATCCAGAATTATCCAGAAGACGCTTCACTTCCGATTTGGATGAAATTAGGCTCTTGTGCTCAGTCCCGCGAAACGAGAGATCGTTAAAGTTGATTGAGGTTACGAAATCTGTCACCATACCAGCATAATATAACGAACTACGTATAATTTTAAGTTTAAGTTTTAAATTTGGCAGCAATGATACAGACACGGTCCGACTCTGCTAAATAGCTGTGTCGACGTGTGTCGTGTCGTGTCATAGTAGGAAAGCACTTACAGCGACACTGTGTCACACTGTGTCGACCGTGTCTCTTGCTGGAAAGCAAGAATGGATCGCTGATGGCAATGGTGGGGGTAGAAAGACGATTAGAGTGAGAGGCAGGAATAATAAGATCGTTCTTTCTCTGTTTA